TCAAAAGAAAGACAATTCAATGCTGCAGTAAATATTCTCAAGGCAAAAGTTTTTCAAAGTTTCCAAGAGACTGCAAAAGAGAAAATCAAGTTTGAAAAATACAAAGAATTAAGGAGGCAGAAGACTTGCAACTATACAAAAACTTGTGGTGGAACAATAATTTATTTTATTAAAAATCATAATTATGTAATTTTACTTAATGGTTATTTAAGTAATTAAAAATTGTGGTACACTTAGCCTCTATTTGATATCGATTAAAATTTTAATTTTAATTTTAATTTAAGTTAAAGTCAATAATTAATTTTAATCACATTTTTTCTGGGCATACGACTTTTCGACCACAAATTTAATCAATTTATATCAAAATCTATTAAAAATATTTTAATTCCAACCAAACATGACATAATAAATTTTGTAGTGGTAATATAATTACCCTTTAGTTTTTTGAAAATGAAATCTTTTTTGAACATTTTTACCCATTTAGTCCCCATTTGGCCTCCACTAAAATTTATTGTTCACTTTTTTTTTTTCAATCACATATTTTTCCAAAAAAAAAATACTATTTCAAAATATACTTTTCATAAAATCTCATCAGAATGGAGTCCAAACATGGGCTTAGTTAGAAAATCATTTTTTGTTAGATAAGAATACCACACGTGCTAAAAAGATTGAGACCTTGAGTAACACAAATGAAGGATGGGCACAAAAAAGAATTAATTTAAATGTACATTTCTAGAAGACATTGTTGTTGATTAGTTGATATCGTGTGAGTTGTAAAAATATATGTCTTTCATTGTTTAAATTGTTGTTAGAATAAAGTCATTTGTCCAGATTTAAAATCAAGGAGGGAAGAAATAGACTAATGTATCAAAAATAAATGGATGATCTTGTTTTAATTTTTCAAACTATTCAATAATGTGTCGACACGTGTCCCATCAGAATTTGAGTCTGGATATGTAGCACTGTTGAAAAAGTTGAATGTATTTTAAACTGATAAATAATAGAGTGATATGTGACATTATATAAAGTTTGATGTACATTTAGCAAACAATTATTCTAGTTGTACAAATCAAGTCGACAAAAATGATTGACAAAATAATTGTTGGCAAAATCCTGGACTTAGTGGTGGCTCGGCTCGCGCTCGTGGCTTGTCCGAGCTCGTGGGCCGAGCCAAGCTTGGGCTCGTCCAATTTTTTTTTTAAAGAGTTTTACAAATAAATGAAATAATAGAAAACATTTTCAAAAAAATAAAAAATGTTAAAAAATACAAATAATTTAACGAAATTTTTTTTTATTTTTTTATTTATATCATATTGTAATACTTTTTATAAAGTATAAAATATTTATATAATAAAGACAAATTATTTTTTGAAATACATTTACAAAAAATATTTTTTTATTTCTTTTTAAAGTAGATAAAATGTAAACCCTCCTCTTTTATCCGGGTTTGGGACCGATTACATCAATTTTAAATATGCGGAGTTAAAAATTGTACACGAACAACTTGTTGTAACGTGTATAATTTTTTAAAGAAAATTAAATTTAACGATTAAAAAATAAAGAAATTTTGATTAATATAATTAAATCAAATATCACTTACCTGACGACATGCAATTTCAGCGTATTTATCTTGTAGTCCAAAATGAGCGTCCTGTCAATCCTTCACGCACATTAACGCTTCCAAAA